TTGGGGCTTGAAGTACTTCAATAAGGCGAATTTCGACAAGTTGGTTCGGGTGAAAACTAAGGTTGATCCGACTAACTTTTTCAGAAACGAGCAGAGTATTCCACCGATACACTCGAATAACTAATACATCAAAGCATCATTCTAATATTATTGCTTTATTTTGAAGTTCCTTTATACAATGGTAAAGTTAGCAATAAGTTTAAGCATTTGGTCTCTCCAAAGTTCTGTATATTTGACAGACTATGCTTATATGCATAGCTATACTGATTGTGGTTAGTGTGACAGTAAGCGAATGCATGTAAGTTCAAATCGCGCGATCCATTAATAAAATGTTTCACTCCTTTTTGTACTTAACGCATTGTTCAAGTATTATTACATTCATCATAAGATGAGGAATGGATACTAGCTAGATAACAAACATATCAATATTATTACATTCAGTTGCAAGAAGAAACTGTTATAAATATCAAACAAAGTTGTTAGACGAGCCAACGGTTAGATCGTAATTTATACAAACAAGTACTTTCAAGTTCTAATACTTGAAAAAACAATATAAACAAACGTATGACATTTCATAGTATAAAGATACAATTTTGTTAAAAAAAAAAACGAATATGATGAGTTCGACTCCTCCTAATGATTATGGCTGCTTGCATCTTTCTTCTTCACCAAATACTAATATTATTTTTTTTTTCTTTATAATATTCTCCTTGTTTGCTGAAATTCCTTAGCTGCACAAGCTGTGACAAGGTCAGGTATCGTATAGTATAGATGGCTAAATTTGGGCTCCAAGATTTTGGGCTTTGCGCCTTTCAGCTGCGGCCCAACGTTTATAATTGGGCCTCGATACAACGAATCATTGTTTTGTGACTCGGACCGGCCCGGCAGGTCGACCCGGAGCCGAAACCAGTCCGGTGGATTATTTGGATCGGGTAACAATGGACCCGGTCAAATCAGGTCGGCCAACCCGGCCTTGACCCGGTCGACACGGGTCATTGACCCGGCCGTCAACCCGGTTGACCCGTTCTCTATAATTTTTTTATATTTTTTATATAAAAAATAAAAACTATAATGGCACAGTAAATATTTATTGTGAGATTTAATATTATTAACACTTAAATGTGTAAATTTTGTATACCAAACATTTTTTTTTGTTACTTTTATGTATAATTTATATGTCAAAAATACTATATATATAATTTTAAAAATTAATTATCTGGTTCAGCAATTAACCCGATTAGACATAGCCACGGGCCGAACCGGCACATGGCCAGACCCGCGAACCGGCACCGGCCCGACCCGAAACCGGCCTCTTAAGGGCCGGTTCGTTGAACCGGAACCGTAGGGCCGCGGTTCGGTCCCGGTTTCATTTTTTTATTTTTGTCCCGCCGGGCCGGGCCGGGTCAAATTCTTTGTTTTTCTTAAGGCTGGACCGGCCCGTGAACCGCCGGGCCGATGAATAGAACCGGCCCTTAGTTCTTAGCGGGCCGGTCGCGGTCCGGGTGTTGGAGGGCCCGTGACCCAGCGGGCTTGGCCGGGCCGGGCCTTGGCCCGGCACCTGGTCACGCCTGAACTCGGTGACCCGGCGGTTGAACCGGTGACTCGAAGACCTTTCCGGGTCGATTTCCGGACCGGGTTTAGAAACTATGCAACGAATGTAGATAGTAAATACAACTAGCCGGCCTAAAATCGTATTATTTGTTTTAATTGTCGGCTTTATTACATTTTAATAGGGCTGGGCACAGTTCGGAATCTTTGGATACTCGAGTTTTTTGAGGTATTTGCTAACCGAACCGAACCGAGCAAACCTGACACAAATCTGTGTTAGGTTTGCTCGGTTCGGTTCGGTTAATTCACGAATAGCCATACCAACATGTTAGTTTAATATATATAAATATAATATATAATATATAATACAATATATATTTTATAAATTTTAATATAATATACTGTTCGGTTCGGTTCGGTTAACCGGAGTAAAAAAATCTTAAAAACCGTAACCGAACCGAACCGAGCAAATACTTTCTTTGAGGTATTTGTAACCGAACCGAGTACCCCAGTTAACCAAAAATTCGGTTCAATTTTGATTCGGATCTACGATTCAGCGGTTCGGTTCGAATTTTTTGCCCAGTCCTAAAGACCTTAATTTTAATTTTTTTTTTGCCCACAACTTCGATTGAAGAATAGTCAGCTTTAGTTCATTACAATTACAAGGCAATTTTTATTAATTATTTATTATTTTGTCTCGTTGGAGATAATTACCTATATCAGACTTTCAAAATTAACTTATCATTTATGTATTTTAAAACTTTACCTATCATTCTTGCTCATATATAATTTATCCCATATTTGATAATAGCAATTTAAGATATTGTTATATTTGAAAAATTATTATCTCGTATTAATTTTTTTATCATCAAATTATCTGATTTTATTTTTTAGTTTCTTCATGTAGTTAATTTTTCCTTATTACATATTTTTTGTTACAAATTGTTGTTGAAATAACTTATACCAAGATAATAACGATTGGAGTTTTTTTCCATACAAACCTGAAAGATGTGTAAACTATCAAATTGAAGCATGCAAGATTATTTTTTTCTCAATTCGGGACTTAAATGTTATAAAACTATCAAATTAAGTTCTCGAATTAACAAAACTCATAATACCATTAAATTGAGAATTTAAAAAAAAAGTAAAAGAAAAGATTGATCACATAAAATAATAAACAAACATTTACATAATATTAAAAAAAAATAAAAAAGCTCAAATAGACAATAGCAAGAAAACTGAGCAAGAGTTTCATACTTTCCTTAATTATCTACAACAATCTCATATTTTCCTTAGTTTCTTCATTTTTTTTATCTGTTGTTTTTTTTTTTTTTTTTTTTTTTTTTTTTTTTTTTTTTTTTGTTACTTTGTAACAGATTTGATATTTTAAAACTTCAAATTAACTCTCAATTTAATGGTGTCATTGATTTTGTTAATTTTAGGATTTCATTTGATAGTTATATAACATTTAAGTTTCGAATTGTTATTTTGGTAGTTTTTGTTTGTGTCTTGTTTTGGGTTTCTAACATTGCTAGTGTCGGATTTAGGCGGTCTCTGGACCAGTCTTCTCAGTTTATTCAGCTTGTGGTTGTGACTTCGAGTTGTAATTTGCACATTTGTGCGTTTTGATCTATAATACTCCTATCGTTTCGGAAAAAAAAAAATTGAAAAAAAAAACTTTTTAAGCCTCCATTAAATAAGTTTGTAGATCTGGAAAAGACATATTCAAGCCAATTTAATGATGAAGTCAAATGTATGATCTGGTCAGAGGCTCTCCACATGTTTCTTATTATTTCATGGTGATATATATATTCCATTAATGACTTTATTGATTTTCAACCTTCCATTAAGATTTGACAATCGGCTTATTTGATCTCTTTTTTATTATATTTTTTTTTTCAATTTTAATTTATGTTGTGCTTGTGACAGCAATTAATTGACTAGCATAGATACATTTAAATATATAAGATACCATATTTAAATAATTTCGGGCATAAAACGTACAAGGTGAGATCATTGAGAATAAAAACTAAAAGCAATTCGTAATAGTGAAAAGAATAGATCAATTAATTAAGAGAGCTAAGAGAGTGATTTGGTGAGAAGTTGTTAGAATATTGTAAACTTCAATTTTGAACAAATCGAAATTAATTTCGCTATTAATGTTATTGTTACTTCAATTCCATATGATTTTTCTCGGACGAATTTCAATTAAGATTTCAACAAATGAAAATATTCTAGATGGAATTTGTTTTTCAATGGATTTTAACGATTTCAACCACACTTTTCAACATTGGATTGTGGCCTGAAAACAAATCAATGCAATGTGCAGATCGATATACTGTTGGAAAAGAGGGTAGTGTTGATCTCCGTTTGAATGTGTGTTTGAATTTTTTTTATGTCATACTATTGAAATATCCTTTGTATTTTTATTAAAATATATTGTCGTTGGAATATGGTATTTTTTTCAAGTGTGCTATTAGTATTACCTCTCTATTTTTCAATTTGGAATTAGCAATGATTTCAAGTTAAACATTGTATATTTTCTTCCTTACAAACATTTTCTCAAAAAAAAAAAAAAAAAAAAAAAAAAAAAAAAAAAAAAAAATTACTAAGCATTATTTAAGCCAAGAGTCCAACAAATGTAGATGAGAACCAACTTGATCTGAGCATGCAATTGACATTATACTAACAATTAGTTAATTTTTCAATTAATTAGATACACACGCATATAAACCCCAATATAATGTCAAAGCTTGATTATCTTACCAATCCTACTCACCCTTTGTTGAAAATTCCATGGTCAAAGGGTTGAAGATTTGCACTATCAAAATTTTCTAGTTAGTTTAATCCAAAGTGCCCTCCATCATCTTTCTCTATATAACCTAAACAACTTAGCCCCTCATGTCCATATCATATCAAGCAAAGTATATTCATCCTCAACATGAAAACCTCATCATCAATTGCATTATTTTCTCTCCTCTTTTCCCTTACATTTTCCCTTTCATGGGCTTCAAGTAGCCCCAACAATGCCCCGCCCCACGAGGCGTTCGTCTGGTGCCTCCAAACCCGCTCCGACCCGTCAAATCCGATCCTTCCAAATCTTTACACCCGAACCAACTCATCCTATCAACCAGTCCTCGAGGCCTATATCCGCAACCTAAGGTTCAACGAGTCAACAACTCCTAAACCGAGACTCATTCTCACTGCAACCCACGTGTCGCACATCCAGTCGGCTGTTGTGTGCGCGAAATCCAACGGCCTCGAGATGAGAATCCGAAGCGGAGGCCACGATTATGAAGGTATCTCCTATCGGTCCACGAATAACCCTAACTTCTTCGTGCTCGACATGTTCAACTTAAGGTCCGTGAACGTCAACACGGACGACGAGTCGGCCTGGATCGAGTCCGGAGCCACCCTTGGCGAGGTGTACCACGCGATTTCTGAGGCTAGCGGGATCCTCGCCTTCCCGGCCGGTGTGTGCCCAACGGTCGGGGTCGGTGGCCACATCAGCGGAGGTGGCTATGGCAACATGATGCGTAAATTCGGGCTTTCGGTCGACCACGTGACTGATGCCCGGATAGTCGATGTCAACGGTCGGATCCTCGACCGGAAGTCGATGGGAGAAGATCTCTTTTGGGCCATCACCGGTGGCGGCGGGGCCAGCTTTGGAGTCGTTCTCTCCTACAAAATTAACCTCGTCCAGGTCCCGCCGGAGGTGACGGTTTTTAGGGTTCGGAGGACGAACGACGGCGAAAATTTCACAAACCTTGTCGACCGCTACCAAAGAGTCATGGCCGGAGCGTTGCCGGAGGATCTATTCCTCCGATTGACCCTAGACGTCGCGAACCGGACGAATAGGGCAACATTCACTGCCATGTTTCTCGGAAGCTCGGACGAGCTTCTGCGCGCTGTGAGCCTGGAACTTCCCGAGCTCGGGCTTACGCGGGCCGACTGCCTGGAAATGAAATGGATCGATTCGGTTCTCTTTTGGACGAATTTCCCGGTAGGAACTCCGACAAACGCGCTCCTCAGTCGGGTCCCGCAAACCCTCAACCGCTTGAAGCGGAAATCGGACTATCTCCAAGAACCGATACCCAAACAAGGCCTAGAGTCGATATTCGGGAAAATGTTGGAGCTACAATACCCAAGTCTCGTGTTCAACCCTTATGGTGGCAAAATGGCCGAAATTTTGCCGTCGGCTAAGCCATTCCCCCATAGGGCCGGTAACATTGCCAAGTTCCAGTACGCCGTGAACTGGGACGAAGCTGGTGAAGAAGCTGAACAGCGGTACATGAGCTCGATAACCGAGCTTCACGACCACATGACGCCATACGTTTCAAAGGACCCAAGGGGAGCCTTCTTCAACTACAGGGACCTCGATATTGGGGTTAATGGTAACGGTAAAAATAGTTACCGCGAAGGAGCCGTTTACGGGGTTAAATATTTCAGGGCCAATTTTAACCGACTGGTGAAAATTAAGACAAGGGTTGATTCGGACAACTTTTTCAGGAACGAACAAAGTATTCCGGTCTTGCCCTGGAAAAAGTAAATATAAATATAAGAAATAATTTTTTTTAAAAAAAAGGTCAGTTGTACTTGATTTTATTCATGGCTAACATTAGTAGATTTACTGGATTTTGATTGTTTGTCACGGGTCATGAATTTTGGATCTTGAATTTGTATTTGAATAATGATTTGTTATAATTATTACTATTACACGAATACATGTGTTATGTAATGTTTTATTATATAAGCCAATTTGTCGATATATAGCAAAATGTATATCAAGTAGGTTATAAAATAAAAAATGTATAAAAGAAATGGGAAATTATTCTTATTATACACATATTCCGTACTACAGAAGATATACAAATTAAGAAAGTGTTGGTCAATTTATATCTATGTCTTTGTTAAATATTAACTATTGTCTACTCACTTTGGGTAAGTTTGGGTACAAGTCAGTGTGCCACAAGTAAGACGCGGTTCGACCCGGGGAATTTCTTCCGGTATGAGCAGAGCATCCCGCCCCTGACGAACCGTACCCGGGTTTACTGAGCTCGGGTGATGTTCACGCACGTGGGGACGATCGAGCAGTTTGTCGAGTAGTTTCTATATATCAGTCAAGAAAGCCTTGAAAAGGAAGTTATATTTAATTAGAATCTCGTGTTGAGTTTACTTTACTCTATAGCAGTGTATGCTCGAAATCAAATTTCGTTTCCAATCGTTTCGTTAGAAAACAGAACACATTGTTTGGATACACCAAGCAAATTGTTACACCATTGCCATACATTGTCTAGAGACTGTAAAACATGTTAATGGATACTAAAAATAACAAGAATGTTTCTATGGAGTGTGAGGGTTCTTATTCTTCTTTCATCATTTTGTAACTCACAAGTGTTTACATTATTTAACACATTCACCTCCATCCACAACTCGAGCTTCTTTCCCGTCGATATCTACTGCAACAAAACCGGAATGCTTAGCTCGTTTCTGAAGAAATTACTCGGGTCGACCTTCCCCTTCACTCTCGCCAGTCTCTCAAAGTTATCCTTAAAATACTTCTCCCCCCACACCTTCCCCTGGCTATAGCTAAAGTTCGCGTCGTTACTCCCCAAATCAAGGTCCTTATAGTTAATGTACGCCGTCCGAGGAGACTTAGCCACGTAAGGCTTCGTTTTCTCGCGCAAATCCCTCATCCATTTCAAGTGCTTGTTCGCCTCGCTTTCGTTATTATTCACCCACCAATACGTTAAATACTGCACGTTGAAAAGGTTCCCCTTTCTATGTGGGAAGGGCGTCTTGTCTTCCGATATCCGATCCATTTTTCCTCCGAGCGGGTCGATTATTATCATCGGCTGCTCCTCGCGCAACATTGCGTCGTGTACCATCCGCCACCCCTCTGCTGGTACGGGAGCCTTGAGGAAATCCGACGTTCCCTTATGAAAATTGAACATGTTCGCCTTCTTCTGGAGCAGAATCTCCGGCGGGTCGTCGGGTTTTTTCCCGGAGAAATACAGCACCGATTGAATCCACGACACCTTAAAGCACTCCTTTTTAACGCACGGCCGGTTGGGACATCCGTTGTTGTTATTCTCCGGCCTGTTCAGACAGTCCCCGACCGTGAAATTAAACTCCGGGAAAGTCCGGTTGACGAGATGAACGAATCTTTCTGCGGGCCCGAGGAAAAGCCCGTTGTACGTGACCTGAACAAATTTTTTCTCTCCCGAGTCATCGTCGGGCGCCGTCTGTACGAGTAATCTCACGAAAAGTTCGTCGGGAGCTCTATAAGCGTTCCCCTGCCATTTCTCGAGAAGGCCGAGATTCTCCAGTTTGTCGAATTCGAGCCTCCGGCGAACCGAAAATGCAGTGACTTCCGGTGGGACCCGCACGAGCCGAAGCTTCCACGCGAGAATCACGCCGAAACTCGAACCCCCGCCGCCCCGGAGGGCCCAAAAGAGGTCCTCACCCATCCCTTTCCGGTCGAGTATGGTCCCGTTGACATTTATTATCCGAGCATCAAGCACGTTATCCGAGGCGAGCCCGTATTTCCTCGTTAGAGTTCCGATGCCACCTCCACTGATGTGGCCGCCGGAGCCCACGGATGGGTAAAGTCCTGCCGGGAACGCGTGGACACTGCTTTTCGTCTGAATCTCGTAGTACAGCTGGCCAAGGCTAACGCCCGTTTGAATCCACGCGGTTTCGCGAGGTAAATCTATTTTTGTTCGGTTGAGGTTCGACATGAGGATCATGATGAAACGGGTCGT